ACAAAATTTGAAGCATATGCTAGATCTCAACACCCAATTGCTCAAAATCCAGAAAAAAAAAAAAAATTAAATCAAAAATCACAGACACAATAACATTTTGAATGCTTCAAGCTTCAAATTTCTCGTTTCTTTTCAAGAACAAGCACTCAATCATGGATGCTTCACACAATAATTAAACCTCATGATATTTTCTCCCTTCGCATAATCTAGCCATCTAGGGTTTGTAAAGTAAATATAATTTTTTTTTGGTACCTTTTAAATCGGATGGCCGAGTGGAAGTGATGACCGACGACAGAATTCGGCAGCCGGTGAGTGAAAGCAGTCCGCACTCTGCAAACATTGTAGAAATTTCAACAAATGGAGACCGAAGAGGGAATTGAGAGGAAAAAAGGGAACAAAATTCTTACTCTGTCGTGAGGAGGGTTTGTTGGGTTGCATGTTTGGGCTTTGTTGTTTATTTATTTTTATAGGGCTGGGTTAAGATTAAAAAAAAAACAAGTTAATATAGTTAAAAACAAAACAGGCCTGGGCTTCAGCCCAGCCCAGGCCTAATATTGTACATTCGTCTCTGCTCCAGATTGCAGAGCTTTTCCTTAGCTCCAAATTGCGATCTCTTGCAGGCGCTGGCCGGTTGGTTTTTCAGACCTAATCTTTCCGGCGGTCTGAAAAGGGCAGACTCCGGCGAAAAGTCAACGGGCGTTGACGATTTGCCTCCCATTGTGCTGGTTCATGGGATTTTTGGATTTGAGTAAGGGGTATATGAGCAAAAACTATTGCTTCTGTTTGTTGCTTTCAGGCATTTCGTCGAACAGTTAAAATCGCAAGATTGAATTATGTGGGTCTATCTGAACTTAATGATGAAAATGGATAATTTCCATTTACAGGGCATTATCCCGAATGGGACGAGGACCACCCGATTCACTTTGTCGGTCATTCGGCCGGTGCACAGGTGGTTCGGGTCTTGCAGCAAATGCTTGCTGATAAAGGTAAAGTAAAATCTTGTAAGAAGTTAGCTTAACTTCAAGTTTGTAAAAACTTTTTGCTTTTAGTATGCAACTTCAATAGGCTTTCGATGGATACGAAAACACCTCGCGTAACTGGGTCTTGAGCATAATCTCATTGTCCGGTGCATTCAACGGCACCACAAGAACCTATTTGGATTTTGGATGGCATGCAGTGAGTTCCTTTTCTTAACGTTTGAAGCTTTATTTCAATTAGTTTTAAGTAAGCCTAGCCGATAAGCTAGTTTATAGGTGATAAGTGAATTTCGAGTTTAGAGTTGATAGTTTATGGCTTATGGTTGAACAACTATCTTATATGATAAAAGTGTAGTAATATTAGTTGGTAAACTAGCTGAAATAAAAATTTCAATAAGTTTATCTGAAAAGCTACCTACAGAAGCTTATGAGACAAGCTCACATTTTTTAATAAAACTCGTCCTATCAAACCAATCTTATTTGAATACAGGAAGCTTATAAGCTAATCGAATAAGTTATAAGATAACTTATATGTTTACCAAACACAGTAGTGCTTTTTCTTGATTAGTGTTTTTGAAGTGTTCACCACATTTTGACAGAGAAAATCTTGAGAATTTTGGTTAATTAATGGATTTTTTTTTTTTGGCAAATTTTGTGTGATATACGCCCTCAAATCAACACTTACAACAAAATCAGAAAATGATAATTAGCTTGACGGGCAAATTTGTTCTGGCTTAGGCCCGATAACAGAAAATCAGTGAAGCCCGTGTGTCTTCTCCAACTGTGCCGCCTTGGAGTTATCTTTTACGATTGGTTCGACGTTCAGTGGCAGAAAAATTACTACAATTTCGGATTCGACCATTTCAACCTGTCACGAAGCAAAACCGGCATCTGGGGCCTCGTGAATTGCCTCCTGGGCAAAACCTGCCCGTTTGCATCTGACGATTGGATCCTTCCAGACCTTACAATCCAAGGTTCCATTCGGCTAAACGCGTACATACAGACATTTTCGGATACTTACTATTTTAGCTACGCCACTAAACGAACAAGGAATGTTATGGGTGCTACGATTCCCTCAGGCCTGCTCAGCACACACTTTTTGTTGTTGGTTCGGGTTTTGCAGATGAGCCAGTGGAGGTACCCTCCAGATGTTGAGCCTCCATATAAAGGTTACAGTAGAGTATAATTTCGACAAAAAATAATAATAATAATAATAATAATCTCCCTCATACATATAAGAAAAAGTATGAGGGGTTGTAAGATTGACATGTGTCTTTTTTTAGGACCAAAATACCCTTGAATTTTCAGTGTTTTTACAAACCCTTTTGGCCCCTTTTTTGCGTCTCGCCCACTGCGTTCTCTTTAGTTTACCACCAGGCCCACAATCTTTTCAATTCAAAGACGTCTGCGGCAGGTCCCGGAAAATATGGTGAGACTGTAATCGTACGGAGCGATTGCGTGGATTTTCTCGGTGCTGTTTGGAAGATTTCGTGAACGGAAAATCCGGGTACGGCTTTAGCTTTAAACTTTGCGCCATTTCTATCGCCTGATACAATTTCCCTTTCTTTTTTTTCCGTCGTGCGTTTTCCCTCGCTCTGCAGTGCATTTCATTTGCTTTGCATATTTTTTTTTTCAGGCTCAATTGTATTTCAGACAAGAAGCAACAAAATCCAAATCGTAACTTCCCCTACTCCACATTCACCCATTCCTTTTTCTTTTTTTTCTCAAACCCTACCTTCCTCTATTCCACATTCACCCATTTTTGGAGAGCGAAATATTTCACCCAAAAAAACCCTAATGACCAGAAGGCGGGGAGCTACACCACCTACGGCGCCGATGAGCGACGCGGGTACACTGCGGGTGTGCCGCCCCAGAGAGGCGGTCGGAGTGTCATGGCTTCGATCTACCAGTTTTAGGCCCGAATTAACCGACTAATTCTTCAAAGGTGCTATTATTTATTTTTCTTATGCTTTTCATTTCTTAGACTTTGTTAGGTTCGATTCTGATTTTGGATGATAAGCTTAATTACTATTATTTTTGTTTTTAATGATTTGATTTCTCAAAATTAATAAATTGAGTACAATATCAAGAACATTAATTTTCCAATTCATATCGGATGGATTCAGAGAATGATTTTTGTCTTTTCTGCAGCGAGTGGAAAAAATTTTTGAGGTCATTACAGATGTCAATTATATACCTGCATTTCTAACAGAGTAAACCAAAGGACAGACGAACAAACGGGAATATTTCTGTGAGTTTTTTCAAGGATTTTGCTTAACCATCTTATACATTTCTTCTAATTATTATGTTGTGCTGAAGAAAGACCATTTAATGTTAAGCCTTACCACATGGTAACTCGCACATCTTTGATAATTACTAATGTATCATTGTTCTTAAGATTATTCTCCTTACGTCTTTGTGTAGGATCGACAAGTAGAAGTCTGGTGGCTCAATTTTGGCGCAGGTTTACCTTCAGGCGTGTTCATTTTGTTTTCTCCAAATAAATTCCATTTAAGTTTACCTTAGGGCATTTCTTTCTTACCTATGTCTGGTCATGCTTTAAATACTGGGTGATAAGAGATTTTTTTTTCCCTGAGGTTTTGCTTCTCTTGAGGCTAAGAGAAATTTTAGGGCCCCTCGGATTACATCTAATCATCTACATGAAAGCAACAAAAATTTCAGTCATACAAATGCCCGAGATAAACTAGAAAACGCGTGTGATAAAGATCGACTGGTTAGTTCAGGTCCATAGCGAATTCGAGCTCTCTCCTAGACATTTTACCTCACTAACTCGGTCGAGTTCGAGCTGGACAGAGGTAATTTTCTTTGGTGTGCATGGCACTGAGAGGCCGACACGTCGCGAGTATAAATTAACGTAACAGCCCTTGGAAAGCTTGACCTTTTGCCACTTGATTCACCCTTGTTGCTGATATTATCCAATTGGCCGTTGAAAAGGCGATCCTACTGTGTTCCTGATTTTCATCTGCTACATTGATTAGACAATGTATTATCACATCTGGACGACGTAGTTGAGGGTTGTTTCTTGCCTGAGATATCTGGATTGGCCTGCATTTTTTCTCTGTGTTGCTTATTCTTCCTTGATTTAATATGCATGAATTTGGGTGGAGTGTGCTGACCATGAGATTCGGTGGTTCTTTTCGCACTTTTTTGGGTGTTCACTACTGGTTCCCTTTTTGTTCTTTTATTTTAATGTGTTCTGTTGCTGCGATGAGGAGTCTGTGCGTGAACCTTGAGGGTACAAACCAGATTTTGTGGGATTAGAGTTATAGTCTTCTTAACTGTGAATTTGATGGCGAGATTCACGCCACTTGTTCGCAGCTGAAAGCATAGCTGTGCTATTTTAGATTTGTTCCTTTTTTTTTTTTTCTATTGGACCTTTACGCTCACCTTTCCATGCTTGTACTGTTTTTATTTCTCCATTTATGGCCTGAGATTTTCTATGATCTTATTCAGTTCTCTAGATGCTCTTCGTCTGAATAGCTGTGCTTCAATTTTGTGTCTGATTTCACCACGGTAGTCGGCCTTTAATTTTTTGTCTGATTTACTCATTTCGCTACTTGTAAGGTGAGTGTCCGCGTTTTTTGTTTTAATGCTATTATAATTTAGTCGAAGTTAAGGAGTTGTTTTTTTTTGGGTCCTTTTTTACTCAAACTTTTCTATGAGATACATATATTGTGAATCTACCACTGTGGATTGTAAGTAAAATGTTGGAGATTGTTTCCCAGTATGCATATGGTTGCCCATTTTTTTTTTCATTCACAATATTGGATTGTTATTAACCATGTCCCTTTGACTATTCTGTGAACAATCATTTCAGGAAGTTGAAAGTGAAACTGAAGAAAGAAGAAGGGCCAGATTGGATCGCCATCAACGCACTCAAGAGAGAGCGGTATGTCTTTGCGCTCTTTAACGAACAATAGTTTCTGTTGAGTATCCTCGTGATTTATGATTTTTAAAGAATACTTTGTTGCTCGACTTGTGCATTCTTGCTATTGAATCTTGGTTTCCTAGCTACAGGTAATCGCGATTGCACCTCATTGTTCACTTACTCTAGAAATTTTGTTTCACTCAAAGACTCGAACCAAGGTTTGTTTTCTTACCATTTTCTTCATTTTCTGATTCGACTGTTGTGGGGATGTTTTCTGTTGGGAGTTTATTGAGTGGAGAGCCTGATAACTTGTTCATTTTTTAGCTCAGAACTCACGATTTTATTTTATTTGTTGTTTTGTTTTGTTGGAATTTATCTGATACAGTTTCAACTTTCGAGTGATGAACTGTAGAGACTGTCACTGCTTGGAAGGTAGGTCAGTGTATTTGTTTCTTTTGTATTGTTTGAATTTATCTGGTAGAGATTTAACAATCAAATAAGGAAGTTTAAAGGTTTTGACATTGGATTGCCAACAATTTAGCAGATGGGGAGGGAGAATGTTCTTACATTTGTAAGCATGATTTTCATTTTTTCGTATAGATCAACCGACGGTTGTCGTACCTCCTCTATGCCTGGAGGTATGCATTCCTGAACGACATCTCCACAACTTGGATAATGAGCCGCCCTTCCTTTGGCGGCGCACCTGCATGGAGTTCACGACGCTCATCGTCGTCAGCCTCCCAACAGTTGAGGTTTGTCTTTTTTTTTGGACTTTAAGTCGCTCGCAATTGGTGTCGATTTGTGCCCTTCTATGGGGATTTGAGTGCTTGACCAGTGGCAACAGTAGGGAGGTGAATGG